GCTCAATGCAAGATGTATGAGTAATTAGTTTCAATTAACCTAACCCTCATATAATTTCTACAACAATCAAAGCTATCTTCCACTGATAGCCCAAAACAGGTATCTTTACTCAATAGATTATTTTCCAACAATAGATATAATCTCATAAATTTTAAAATGGGAGAGATAATATATATATCCAACTCCACTCTCATTATTCACATATATATTCATATTATCTTTTCAAACCCAACATCTTTTCATTTCTTTCATATATCAAACATCAATGATTTTCCAATGAAACATCCTTTATTTTCAAAATCAAGATTTAGGAAGGAATTTTCAACATTTTAACACAACTCAACAATATTCACATTCTCACAACCCTTTTCAAATCCTTTTGAAGAACCCCTCTTTTACATTTCAAAACCAAACCTTAGATTTAAACCCAAAATTCCCAAATTACTAAACATTTAAAAAAAATAAATAACCAAGCTAAGAATCATATAAAGGTTGAAGAAATCCCTCCCTCAAGAATAGAAAAGGAAGAGAGCAAGAGAAGAAGTTTGACGGAGCCAAAAACAAAATCTTCTCCGATTAAAATGAAACGTTCAACGAGTTCTACCTTTTTCTCCAAGGAACAATGGTGGAGAAATCAACAGATTTGGGTGTATTTGAGGTATTTAGGCAAGAACTAGAGAGAGAGAGAGAGAGAGAGAGAAGAAATTAGGTTTAGAGATATTTTAGAGAGAGAGGAAATGAAAAAGTGACAAAAAAAAACCCTTTTTTTCTCGTTTTGATATACGCACAGACCGCTGGAGCGACCAAACCACCGTTTGAGCGTTAGACACAATAAGTGACACCGCTTGAGCTATTAAATCACCGCTCGAGCGCACAATGACTCCCTCCTAGAAGTTCAAACCTACAAAAGACTGCTTGATCGAAGAAAAGACGGCTTGAGCGAAGATCACCCTATTCCCAAAAGTTTTACAGACCTGCAAAAATGCTAGGATATCTGTTGGCTTTTTTGGCTTTCGAAGGTTACTTTCGTAATTATGAGCGTGCCAGCAAGGATCAATCAGTCCTTACAGAATTGCCAAACAATTATTTCAGACGATTGTGTTATGGTTCTTTCGGCCTCAATAAAGAGGACTTTTACTGGTGGCTTACTGGTAATTAAACTTCAAAAAATCTGAACATAAGAACAATTAACTAAACTGGAGTATTTCATTAGTATAAAAGAACTTACAATGATCTGAGTTCCGTAGAGAATTACAGCGGCAATATACTTGACAACTACTCCTACAAATGAAGTGCAGCGCAGAAACTAAAAATACAGGAAATAAAGGACAGGAAATAACACTGGAATATGTAAAGTGATTCTTTAGATTTTTCTCCGTCCCCTTCTCTGAAGTCCTTCCTGTTATTTATACTCTCCGAAGATAACCATCGAATTGTACTTCAAACCGTCGAACTGCCCCTCCGTAGTTGCTGATCATGCTACCTTATAAGTAGTCCCACTACGCCTTCACTTGCAGTTAGGCTTCCCCCTTATATTTGAATTTGAAATGTGAGCAACCGTTGAAGCCACGTCACTGTACGTCTCTTTGTTGATCTGCTACTACTCAGATCTTATAACAACCAATATTAATTGCCACGTGTATGGTCAGGATCGAAGACCTACCTGGTCTCCCCATATTACCCTCACTTTGCCACGCGTCGGATTATCACTGGCTTAGTACAAAATGTGTAGCCAACATTACCCCCCCAACTAATATACCCAAGACTTGGTGATATTAGTGGATTAGAGTCCCTTTTCCCACGTCTTAGAACGTGCATGGGTTTTGCATCTAAAGAGTCTGGTGCTACATAAACAAATGCAACTCAACATCTGCTGGGCTCACTGCTACTAGTGAGCCTCAACACACAGCGTTTGAATTCAATTTCAACGCTCCGGCGATGGGATTTGGAGAAAAGAGTCTGGTGCTACATAAACAAATGCAACTCAACATCTGCTGGGCTCACTGCTACTAGTGAGCCTCAACACACAGCGTTTGAATTCAATTTCAACGCTCCGGCGATGGGATTTGGAGAAAAGAGTCTGGTGCTACATAAACAAATGCAACTCAACATCTGCTGGGCTCACTGCTACTAGTGAGCCTCAACACACAGCGTTTGAATTCAATTTCAACGCTCCGGCGATGGGATTTGGAGAAAAGAGTCTGGTGCTACATAAACAAATGCAACTCAACATCTGCTGGGCTCACTGCTACTAGTGAGCCTCAACACACAGCGTTTGAATTCAATTTCAACGCTCCGGCGATGGGATTTGGAGAAAAGAGTCTGGTGCTACATAAACAAATGCAACTCAACATCTGCTGGGCTCACTGCTACTAGTGAGCCTCAACACACAGCGTTTGAATTCAATTTCAACGCTCCGGCGATGGGATTTGGAGAAAAGAGTCTGGTGCTACATAAACAAATGCAACTCAACATCTGCTGGGCTCACTGCTACTAGTGAGCCTCAACACACAGCGTTTGAATTCAATTTCAACGCTCCGGCGATGGGATTTGGAGAAAAGAGTCTGGTGCTACATAAACAAATGCAACTCAACATCTGCTGGGCTCACTGCTACTAGTGAGCCTCAACACACAGCGTTTGAATTCAATTTCAACGCTCCGGCGATGGGATTTGGAGAAAAGAGTCTGGTGCTACATAAACAAATGCAACTCAACATCTGCTGGGCTCACTGCTACTAGTGAGCCTCAACACACAGCGTTTGAATTCAATTTCAACGCTCCGGCGATGGGATTTGGAGAAAAGAGTCTGGTGCTACATAAACAAATGCAACTCAACATCTGCTGGGCTCACTGCTACTAGTGAGCCTCAACACACAGCGTTTGAATTCAATTTCAACGCTCCGGCGATGGGATTTGGAGAAAAGAGTCTGGTGCTACATAAACAAATGCAACTCAACATCTGCTGGGCTCACTGCTACTAGTGAGCCTCAACACACAGCGTTTGAATTCAATTTCAACGCTCCGGCGATGGGATTTGGAGAAAAGAGTCTGGTGCTACATAAACAAATGCAACTCAACATCTGCTGGGCTCACTGCTACTAGTGAGCCTCAACACACAGCGTTTGAATTCAATTTCAACGCTCCGGCGATGGGATTTGGAGAAAAGAGTCTGGTGCTACATAAACAAATGCAACTCAACATCTGCTGGGCTCACTGCTACTAGTGAGCCTCAACACACAGCGTTTGCGTTTTACACAAATGACAATAATTTCTCCGACGACAATGATAAATGATAAAATATCCACCTCACATGTGAATTCTGCCTCTTATCATATCACCAAAACTTTTTTTATAATCTTTATTCTAATTTCTCTCTTGTCCTTTCGTTACCTGACTCACCCCCAGATCCCGTTTATTTTTTAGCACGCACCTTCTAGAGTTTTTTTTTCTAAAATTTCTTAGAGTGGTCACATCAATTTTTTAACATTAAATCTCACCCATACAACACACCACTCTAGGAAACTTTAGGAAAAAAAAATTCTAGAGGATCCTTACTCTAAAATTTCAACTTATAAGGGTCCCATCAGTGGCTACAAGTAATCACTTGTCCGTGGTCTTACTTTTGAGTTCGAATCCTCGGTCGTACTTTCCTGTCGCCTTCTAAAACGACGTCATTTTTTTTTTCTTTCTTTCTTATTTTGCTTTCCCCTTCTCATTTTTGAACCCTAGCCTCTGAGACAGAAATGCAGATCTGGACAAGAGAGAGAGGCGAGGCAAGGCAAGGCAAGGCAAGGCGAGGCAAGGGGATAGAGGCGACGAACGGATAGGCGACGGAGGCAAGGCGAGGAGAGGCGACGGTAGAGTCTGATTCGTTGGAGGACATGGAGCTGATTAACAGTTTTGTCAAAAGCGCATAAGAGCCATGGTTCACACTTTGAACATGTATTTAACATTAACGTATCATTGAGGTGTTTCAACAAACATCTAACATTCACAAACTACTCAACCAAAAATCACTAGGGCTGAGCAAGTGATCCGTGAAATCCGTAATCCGATCCAGTCCAGTCCAATCCGATAGGTTTGGATTGGTTTTTTGAATCCGCGGTTCGGTTCCGGATTGAATAATTAAAAATCCGTAGTTTACGGATTGGTTTCGGATTGAACCCTACGATTCCGGATTGGAACCGATCCGAACCGTATACAAATAGTCTATATTTTTATTATACATCCCCCCCATAGTATCTTCTCTTAATTCTATATAAAATCTAAACTCAAACCTAAAACCGTATAATATTTTCTTTTATTACTCTTGTTTGTTGGTTTTTAGTTTTAAGTTGTAATGATTTAAATACTTATAGTGAAACCAATTTTCTTATGCTTGTTTAAATTTTAGAACAGTATGTCACTATTATAGAAAAATATGTTGCTATTGTGGAACTAATATAGCGCTATGTTTATATTTTTATAAAATTAAAGTGTTATAAATATATTTTTGTTATTTAATTATGTGAATCCGTGGTCCTAAACCGATCCAATCCGTATTTAAATGGATTGGTTCCATGATTTAAACGGATTGGATTGGTTCCAATTTTTTAGGAACCGTAGATAACGGATTGGTCTTGATTTTATCCCAATCCGATCCAATTCGGACCATGCTCACCCCTAAAAATCACTACAAACCCACAAATTGATAAATCAATTTTTTTTTTTAGAAAAGAAAAAGAAAAGGAAGAAAATAAACATCTAAAATATAAATTTTTATTTTGCTGGCCAGCTTCAACTTTTAAATTGATTTCTTCGATTTTTTGATGAAAGCTCCCCCAAGGACATTTGAATCAATGAACGCTGTGAGAGAGGGCTAGAATCTAAACAATATTTCATTGCGAGAGAGCTCCGTTTGCTGTCATGGAGATGATGTTCGAAACCGAGTTGAATGAGATAATCAAGCTTCAACATTCAGTTTTATTTTCTTCTTCTTCTTCTTCTTCTTTTTGTTTTTATTTTTGTTTTTGTTTTCTTTCGGTGGGTATGATGATTTGAAAAATACGGAGAAAAGAAGGGGAAGACATACAAGGAAGAGAGGGAGAGAGAGAGAGAGAGAGAGAGTTAATCATCGGTGAGAGACAGCAACATGCCAGTGTACCAGTGTTGATGTATCAGCAACATAGTGCCCAATGTTGATGATAAGAAAAAAAGAAAGAAAGAAAAAGAAAAAAAAAGAAAAAAAAAAAAAAAAAAAAAAAAAAAAACTTTCAAAACGACATTGTTTTGGAGGACGACAGAAAAGTGCGACTGAGGATCTGCACTCCTTACTTTCAACCTTTAGACACCCAAACCTGACTTCTCAGTTTTAAGATACTCAACAAAACCAGCAACATATTCCTCATGAAGCTTTCGATCTCCAAAAATTTCAGCAGCTTTTTTCACCTGAGCTCTCATTTCGTCTCCTTCCTCAGAAATCATAGCTTTTCTCAGACACCGAGCTATGTCGTTCCCGTTAAACGACCCATCGTCACCTCTCTTCACTTCAATTGCCAAGCCTTTTTCCACCAACAACCTCGCATTCAATGGCTGATCGAAGATCTGTGGCAAAACAACCATACAATGCCCGAATTGCAATGTTTCGATCACCGAACCCCATCCGGCGTGAAACAACGAGCCTCCTATCGATGGGTGAGCCAGAATCTCGATTTGCGGTGCCCATCCGATGCAGACTTTACCTCTGCCGGAGATACGGCAATTGAAATTCGGCGGGAGAGCATCGAGATCGTCGGAAGCCCAACTGGGTTTTCTCAGAGCCCACAAAAATGGCAATTCCGATGACTCTAGCCCGGAAGCTATCTCGTAAGTCTGGTCTCTCGTGAGTTTACACTCGCTTCCGAACCCAACGAACACCACTGATTTGGGTTTCTGTTCATCGAGCCATTCGAAGATCTTACTCCACGCGCCGTCGTCAGCGGCGGCGATTCGTGTTTTGTCGGGTTTTGCCGGGAGAAGTAACCCCACTGGAATCGCAGGTTTACCGATAATTTTCTCAAACAAATCTAAGTACTCTCCTTCGAACTCTCTGCAACTACGTATCGCCACAGCTCGACACCCTCCAAGTGATTTAACGACTCGTTCAGCATCTGTAATGCCGGAGGCATTTCTTGTGTTTAACCCAGTAAAAAAGCCGATTGCTTCGTAAAGACGAAATGCTACCGATGACCGGAAACTTACCCATGACGGCGGGGACGTCAGGTCCTCCGGCGACGACCTCACTCTTCTCTGAGCATCACCGACTAAATATTCCGGTGGTCCGACGAACACACGGGTGGCGGCAGTGAAGGGGAAGAAGATAACGGCGGGGACATGACACTCCTCAGCGACATCAACTGTCCAGGAACAGATGGCGTCGGTCACGATCCAGTCCGGAGACTTTTCAGCGACGAATTGCTTGAAGGGTTGTTTGAGGAGATCAAATGCGGCCTTCAAGTGCCCCATTTTGTCGGCCGTAATGTCGACAGTGGCCTCTGCACCTTCCGGCAAGAGGTTGGAGCCCAGCGAAGGCAAAGGAATAGGAACAAAGGTGACGAGTGATGATAATTCAGGAGGGAGTTGAGGGAGTCTCTGGATGTTTCTTGGGGTTGAAACGTAGGAGACGCGAATACCGGCCTTGGCTAAGACGAGCGAGAGCTCGTAAAATGGCATCATGTGGCCAAATGCAACAAACGGAACAAGGACGACGTGAGTCTCTGTCTTCATTTTTTTTCCGGAGAAATAGTTCTATTTGTTGAACTTGTGAAAGTTTTGACTACTAAAAAAACAGAACAAGTATTAGTAAAAAATGAGTGAGGATCCTCTCCTTGCAGCTTCCGTGCTTGCGTCCGTTCTTGCAGGTCTTCGGGTCTACTTTTAGACTCAATTTTGATAATCCGAACCGTTCATATTTTATGATTTATTCAGTATATCATACCTGTAAAAAATCAAGTTGATCGGATATCAGAAAGCATTTGTTCGGAAAACTGTTTATTAAATTCTTTAAAAAATAGTGTTTAGTTCAATTTTTCAAACACATACTTTCTGATATCTGATCAATTTAATTTTTTACAGGTATGATATACTGAATAAATCATAAAATATAAACGATTCGAATTATCAAAATTGGGCCTAAAAGTAGACCCGAAGGCCTGCAAGGACGGACGCAAGCACAAACTTGCAAGGAGAGGCTCTTGACTCGTAAAAAATCGTTAGATATACGCACACCATCTGGAAATGCAAACTTGTGTTGCATGATGTCCATTTAATTATTGGCACAGCATCTGGGAATAATTCGTATTCGTTTCACTATATTGCATATTCATTATTTTATGGCTTATTTTAAAAAATAAAATATAATTCATTATTTTATGGCTTATTTTAAAAAATAAAATATAATTTATTGATGTGTGTGATAATACATTTTTATTATTAAAATTTAGAAGACTAAACTATTGAGATAGAATTTGTTTATGAAATAGACTATGAATATGAAAGATAATAATTTGGATGAATATCGGATGAATATCATTGCCACACATGGTCTCCTTCCTCGAGATCCACCTTCACTATATGAGATCCACCTTCGTTATATTTAACTGTTAATTTTATATGGTGCTTTGGCCATGGTTGGCTACCGGTGTGGGGTATGGGTGTGGTTTCATCCACAATTTGTTTGGTAATGTTTTGGAAGGAGAGAGTAATAGTTCAACGGACTTAGTAATTCTCCTGAAATTTTTGATGAGATTAGAAAAATAATAAACGAATTGAGTCTATTTTATATAAAATTTTTGTTTTTTTACCAAATACATCTGTTTGTTTTATATTTCTTTTAGTTTTTTTTAATATAGAAATAATTTTTTTATTTATTTTACATAAAAATAATTTAATAATCTCATCACTAATCATCTCTCACACTATTATCATAACAAACACACCTTTCACTAATAAGTTTCACATTAACAATCTATTTACTAATCATCCTCTTACCAAATCTAATCCGTCAAACAAACGTGACCTTTAAGTAGATTTATCGGTGTCACATGATTATATCTTGGGAAATCTTACTATACATATCTTTATTAAGGTGTCAACCATAGGTCTTTTATTAAGGTATCTACCATATGTCGCATTTATGATGTTTAGCTATTATCTATGATTTATTATAGTATTAGTTATGCTATAATTATATATATTGTGGTGTTATTGTTTGTAATTATTTTAGTTATAACTCCAAAAAAACATTTTGACTATATCTTATATAGTATTTCGTTATGACTCAATTTATTTATTTTTTGGGGTTATAAACCTAAAAAGAACCACCCATTTGTGGTATTATGGTAATTAATTCCACAAATATCAACCATAAATATCATAACTTATATATGATTACACACTTTTTTTTAGCATGTGTACCATAGCATAACTATTATATCTTATTTATTATATACTTTGAAAAAATAAACAAAAATTGCCAACAATTATGTCTTGTTTTGAAAATTTTAATATTATGGACTATTAAAATATTAACAACTAAATCTTATTTATAATAAATTGTTCTTAAGAGTATCTCCAACGTTATATATATATATATATATTTTTTTTTAATACCAAATTTGAGTAACAACGCCATCTGATATCACTTGCTCTAACAGAGGATTTTAAACTTTTATCAAAACACTGGCTGACTGGGCAGATAATTGGATAGATGTTCGGCCGGTCGACCAACCAGTGTAATTTTTTCACAAATTTTTGTATGGAGGTGGTCATCCGAGAGGACAACTAGTAGGACATCCAACCAGTCGTCCGGTGGTGAAAATGACCTATAACTCCAACAATTATAAATAATGATTTGATGAAAGACACATCCATCAATTTGATAAAAGATTTGAGAAATTCTAGATTTGATACTTATTTGATAAAAGGGTTAGAGCAACAAAAAGAACTTGTTTCTATCAAATTTAAATTCGATAAAACAAAAGGTATTGGGTTGGAGATGGTCTAAAAAGTTTTAATAGTATATTTTGGATTAGACTTTTATTATGTTCTCATTTCAATGATTCAAACTTTTTATTTTGTAGAACCTTCAATATATATTATACATAAAAAAAAAATTAGGTTAATTTGATAATTCAGGGTTAATAGGCAAAATGTCTTGTAAAAGTGCATAGAAAAGTATTCTTTTTATTTTTATCCAACTAGTTTGGCTGATATGTATTCCAACCAAATTCTTTATTTTACCTAATCAACCAAACTAACTTAATTAATCTTTTTTAAATACTATAAACTAAATAAAAAAATATAATATTTTTTATGACATGTTATATGTGTACCTAGTGTTGAAGTGGCTTTCATGTCATTTGTAAATATTTATTTTTAAAAAATATTATTAAATTAATATTTTTACACACTTATATTTGTGAACGATCATATTCTTTGACGTTTTGAAATAATCAAACGGGCCAAAACAAAGAACAAACAACAAGCAGATGTGGACAAAATGATGAGAAGACCCTTTACGTAGCAATAAATGCTAGTTACTCTTTATTGAGAGTGAAAACGAAAATAGGCAAAATGCTTTTTGTGATGCAGAGCCGTTTGGAAGAAAACCAAACCAACTTCACTAGTAAAAATGCCTCATGTGGGTCTTTTGCTTTGTTCCTAGGAGTTGCTCTTAGCAAGAAGGACTAAAGAAATGAGAAAAAAAATATAAAATAAACTAAAATTAAAAACCTAATATAAGAAAATAATTAAACATAAAAGAGATAAAGTATAATTTATCCAAAATTAAATATAAGACATCTAATGAAGATGCTCCTATAACTTAGAACAAAGTGCATTGCATACGATTAAAAATGATATTTAAAACTGGAAACATATTGACCTCAACAAAAGGGAATATCATTTCTCTGTGAAATTTTAAATACTTTTTTCTCATATAATTATTAAATTAAAATGACAGACAGAAGAGACATAAATATAAGTTAAAATATCATACCCTTAGGTCCGTCTAAATTTTTTTATTGGAGATGCCTCGTCATTTTGATGAAGTTCTTCTTGAATTGTCTAGTTCGAACAATTTAAAAATCAGTGCACGAGTTTATATTATAGTTAATAGTTCTAATGCTTTAATCTGTAATATCTTATCAAGATTCTGTGCAACAACTTCTTTTGAAAAATTCAAATTAATTTAAATTATTTAGGGAATTTGGTACCCACGAATGAGAACAGTGAAGGAAAAACAGAGGGTGAACTTTGCATCGGACTTCTAGAATGGAACAAAGTGAATTTCATTAAAAAAAAATTAAGATTTAAGAGACTAAAATTTAGGGACAAAATTATTTTTTAGAAATCAAATATTTTTATTGTGAAAAGTGTTATTATTATATTTTTAGCAACAAAAATTGAACATTAGTGATGAATTATTATCCTTTTGGGATCAAATTTTTTGTCTCAAAAAATAAAT